TTATTCTAATGAATCATAATCATAATTAATTAGCTATGCAAATGCAAGATTTTTATCAAATCTGCATAAAAGCAAGTCTCAAGCAGGATATTTATTTATTTCTGGGGATACAACTATCTCATGGCATTCAAACAAACTTTATTAGCTACTTCATCAAATGATACAGAAATAATTTCAATTCATAAGGCAAATCGAGAATGTGTTTGGCTAAAGTCAGTTATTCAACATAGTCAAAAAATGTGTGGCTTTTAATTAGAACAAAAGATTCCAACAGTGTTATATGAAGATAATACAATATGCATAGTTCAATTAAAATAAGGATATGTCAAAGGAGATAGAACAAAACATATTTTTCCAAAGTTCTTCTCCACTCATGATCTTTTGAGAAGTAGTGATATAGATGTTCAATAAATTCGCTCATATGACAACTTTGCTGATCTGTTTAACAAGACACTGTCAACAAAAACATTTGAGACGTCGATGTATGGTATTGGAATGCATAGACTTAAAGACATAGAATGATGTTATCATTAGGGGGATTAAATAATGTGTATTCTTTTTTCTTTACTAGGTTGTTGTCCCAATGAGTTTTTCCTTATAAGGTTTTAATGAGGTACAATGCTCGTTATAGATATCCAAGAGGAAGTATTATGAATATTGCATGAATGGACGCCTATAACCCCTAACTCTTAGAATTCTCAAGGGATTTTTTATTTTCAAGTGTTATAAACTACATAACCTCCCCAGTAAATGACTTAGGAAGAGTTTCTCATTGTTAATCCTATTATAGTATTTTTATTTTTTGTAATCTTATTATAGGACTTCAATGCATGGAGGCCGATAAACAGAGGCCATGTATAAAACATTTGTACCATAAAACAAAATGAATGAGAAAAAAGCCATTGTTTTCTCTATTTCTTGTTTTCCTTTTTACTTTATAGTTTTCTTATTTCTTCTCATTTTATAACTTGTATATAGACACACACACCTCATTTTTCATAACATATATATATAGATATATTCTTCTAGTCTTATTTATAAAATACTTTTTATCATGTCTTATCAAAACCAAAAAAAATTAAATCTCATTAACTCTAGCTTAAAATTTAATAATTTCTTAACTTTATTATAACCTAATATATATTTTTAAAAAATAACAGTTTATACAACAATTAAATTAAGCGTAAAATTTTAAATTCGTATAATAAATTTAATAAAAATGATTTTGTATGAAGGATAAAAAAAGTATTTTTTTTATAGGATCAAAATGGCATGCCTGTGTATATAATGTCATATAAGTCTCATTTATAATTCATAGAATTACATGTTTTGAAAGAATTTTTTGTTCTAAATATAAGCCAATTTAAAATATATTTGTTGCGTTATCTTAAATGATTAATATAATACTATAATTTAACGTATTTAATGAAGATAATGATGGTTATGGAAAAAAATAATTTTTTTACACGGTCAAACTAGCTTTAAACTCTTCTTTTAAGATTTTGACCCAAAAAAGATTCTTTTTTTATAAATAATATGGTGAAAAGTAACTCATATTAAAGACATCTAGAGGAATTATTGGCCAAAAAAAAAACATACACATAGAGAAACTCTATATGTTTATTAATTTTTTTAAAATTAGTCTTATTGATATTTTTCTAACAATACTCAAGTAGGAGAAGAAAAAAAAAATAAAAAAAAAACTTAGGATATTTTAAAATAAATATATTATATTAACTACTTTAACTAATATTATTAATTTATATAAATTAATTAATTATGGTTTACATTAAGTACAACAGGGTATAATGGTAGCCACATAAATAGGTGTGTCAAATTCGGGTCAAATCACTGAATCCTCACGATGGACGCACCACGCGATCGAAGAAAAAATGAGAGGGAGGGAGAAAAGTAGAAAACTGAAAAACTTTCAAGTTGGAGCGAGAAATGTGAGAGCGAGGGACCTCCTATTTAAGGGTTAAATAGACCATAATTTAGGAAGATAGAATCTCTGTTTATCATGAAATTTTTCCTATTCAAATTTTAGGAAATGTTTATTTCTAGCACCTCAAATTATATCATGAAGGGAAAATGCTGATTTGATTTCTTATTTGACTAAAATTTTCTATTTCATTATCAAATAGTCCAGGTCGAACCAACCAAATGCAGACCTAAAACTCAAAGTCCAACAAAAAGGGGATGTAACTGGTAGCTGGGTTTCATCGATAAAGGGTTGAAAGTTTATACATAGGTCAAAATTCAAGAAAATTTTGTGTAATTCAACCTAATTTTTTTTAATAAAGACATAGCGAAATGAACTTATTATAAAATATAATAGGGTTAATATAATTTGTTATCCTTGATATAAGCCTATTTTAATTTTGGTCCATCAAATTTCAAACACATGATTTTAGTCTCGGAAATTTAGTCCATCTTCAAATCTTAGTTCCTAGAGATATAGCAGTATTAAAATATGCTAAAACATTATAAAAGATGTTAAAGTGATTATACAGAAGATCAAACGACACGTAGTTAAATCTTATATGGATAGTAGGAAAAAGGGAAAAAAACAAGTAATCAAAATGTAAAGCAAAGAACGTTCATATATAAGGAAAATAAGTTCTCAAAACATAGCATAGTGAATAATTTTTCAAACAAGCAACAAGAAAAAGGGGGGCTAAACAACTATATTTTGAGGACTTGTTCTTGTTTTTTTAATCCCTTCTTATGCATATAAGATTAGATAGGTGATATTTGGTGAGTCTATTTAACCACTTTAACGTTATTTACAACAATTCAACAAATTTTAACACTATTATAAGATTAACGTTTTAAGACAAACAAAAATTCAACTACCAAAACTATGGATTTGAAATTTGAGGGATCAACACTAAAAAAAATCCAAACTTCAAACACAAAAATTTTTATTAACCCCATATAATATCATAATATGATTGGGAATTCAAAGCAAAATACTTTTATATAAATTATATTTATTTTTTAAAAAAAGTTAAACGTCTTTATTTTGTTTGAACTAGCATTTACTCTGTCATACCGTTTAATGTTGGTCAGATATAGTGATTGATTCTTATGAATAGCCTATTTATTGCTAGATGTTTAATTAAGAAAAATGAAAGTACTTTGGCAAAAAAAAAAAAAAAAAAAGAAAAATAAAAGAACTCTTTTTTCGGACCAGGGGCCAGAGACTGAAAGGAAATCAGCTAACGCGGGTGGTATCCAAATAGCTCGAATGTCCTAAAAAATGAAAGAACTCTAAACCTTGTAAACACAACACAGTTTTTTTTTTTAAAAAAAAAAACAGAGAGAGAAGTTAAAATGACTCAACAAACGAGATGGTACCTTACGCATAGATGCTTGACATTATGGGGACAACATATATTATGGTATGGGAAAGTCAAAAAGTCAACAATCCCTTTTTTCATGTTACCCTACAAAGGCAAGATTCCTTCCATTGCATATTCTTTTGATGATTAATTAAATTAAATTACACCGCCCAAATTTAATTTAAATAATTTAAATTCATTATTTTTAATAATCGCTGTATTAAATATTAACACAAGCAAATAAACTTTTAACAAAATTATTATTGTCTTTGTAATATTAGTTGGTTTATGAAAAATCAAATTGGCACTTGATTATTTTGAAATCGAGTTTAATTCAACTCCATAAATATAAATTTTTATTAAAATTAGATTAAATACAATAAATTGAAAAGAGCAAAAAAAAAAGAAAGTGAAATACAAGACATGTGACACTCATTCCAAAGAGGATGGGTTCCTGCCATTGCCACTACAACGCACATGAATTCATTCTAACCATGTGCATATGCATTACCCTTGTACCTGAAAAGCATATTTGAAGAAGTATGCCATCTATTATATTATATTTAATATAAGAGCTATTTAACTAATTTAAATAGATTAAAGAGGTGTTTGGATTATTGAAAATGTTTTTTAAAAAACACTTTTATGCAAATCGAGGTAAATTTCTCTACATATTTATTTTGTATACTGTAAAAGTAATTTTAAAACTATAGTTTTGTTTCCACCTAAACACCCTATAAGTAAATTTATTAAGTTAGTTATTTGTAACAAATACAAGTTAAATTTCCTAAAGTATCATTTTAAACATAACTATTTTTAGATGGAAACCCCATTAATATGTATAATCAATAAGAATACTTTAGATAATGAATTATAAATTTGTAAGATAAAGTATATTGAATTCTTATATTTATTATTAAAATAAAGTTCTAATTAGCTCTTATGATAAGAATTGGAAGTAGTATAAAATTACAATGACGTGGGCTTTTAAGATTGATGGGCTTAGACCCAATACTAATTGTCCTGTTTCAACCTATATCTAGATTGTGAAACAAAAAAGATTCCCCTATAAGTATTGATTTGGTCTCAAACATAGGAATGCATGGAGTATAAAAATTTTAAATAAATAGATATTGAACATCAAACTTGAAATATTAAGTTATTCTATTAATTTTTTATTTTATATTGATTTACATAATACGCCTAATTTTTCATTGAAATTAATCATCAAGCATATATACGAGAGCCTTGTTGCATTCAAGGTCACGGCCCTTCAAATATGTAAGAATAACCCTTCAAATTTGTTAAAATTTGTTAACACTTTCATCTACATTTTTCATTAAAATTTGCTCATAAAAAACCCATCACATTCGGGTTTAGCAGTAAGAATCCCACACTCACCAATTAGAGGGAGGGTTTGATTCTCCATCTTAACATTTAAGAAGGCATCCCACACCCCAAGATTGCTGCAATGCCTTGTGTGAGATTAAGACCAATAGCGCCTCTCAAGTGAGGTCATGTAGAATATTGGATTAGATGACTTGCCTTTGACTTAGGTTGAGTCAAAACCCGACCTAAAATGTCATCAAAAAAAAAAGGGAAAAAAAAAAGAATGACACTACAAATATGTGTGTGTGTGTAAAATAAATTTATAAATTCACCAAACCAACCAAGGTTAACATTGGGGTAATAATAATGCACAAACATTCAGTTCACATCCTACAGATCCAATGTAAAGATTTTATTCGTAGCTAATCAATAATATCTCTTCATAACAGCCTTCTAAGCTTTAATACATGACGAGAAAGAGAGCATATGACAGAGAAGAGACTTACAAAATCCTTAAAAGAAGGAAGAAACCCAAATGGATAATGACGAACAAGGCAACAAAAGAAGGAACAACAGAAGTGGGAACACGTCCCTTGTCTTTTCTCAGAAGCAAGCCTTCAATGATAGGATAGTTCACAACAATGACATACCCAGAAATCAAAATCTGCAGAAACATGTCTTCCCAGTTTCCTTCTTCAAAAACCACCACCCTACACAGTCCTCCAATGAAGCATGAAACGTTGATGGAGAGAAAGGCAAGCAATGGGACGAGAAACATGTGTGAGGTTCTGAAATCGAACATGTCCATTTGGTACAACGTTGTTCTTTGTTCCTTGTCTTGTCCTTCTTCTTCTTCTTCTTTAATTTGTTGGTTGGCAAGAAAGTTGACTTTTTCAGACTGAGACTGTTGAGAATAGCATTGAGACATCCATAAAGGTGGCTTGTGGTTGATTTGATCATCCACATTCGCTGTTCGTTTAAGAAGTTCTGGAATGTGCCTCCCGTTGTGAGCACTTCTTGCAAGTGCTTGCATTGTGCTGATAGAAAGATAAAGGCAAAGATGAAGAAATTTGGATCTGAAACCTGCCAAACCAAACAAGAAAAATGGTATGCAAGTGAATTAAAATATTAAGTGAGGGAGAGAGACAAATACGCAAATCTCAATTCATTACCCCAACATGGGAAAATTACTTTGAAGTGCTTAAGAACTAATGTAGGATTAAACTTTATAGTGAAATTACCTAAATGCCCTTAATTTGAAATCTGAACCCCCCCCCCCCCAAAAAAAAAGAAATAACAACAACAGTTTAACAAGTAAGAACTTTAACTTATCAAATGACAACTGATTTTACAAGATTTTCTTCCTGAATATCAACGACAATAACCATGCTTGACAGCATCACTGAGGCAGTAACAACTAATTTCACTAATGGCAATTATATCGTCATTTCTCCACCAAGAAAGAAAGAAAGAAAAGAAAAAACTTAATTCCAGGATATAGATTCTAAAATTTTATAGGAATTAAGCCATTTTGAACATCAATTTGAGATTCTCATATTCCGATGGTTCTTATATGTCTTTCTTCCATAAGACATGCTAACAACAATACACCTAATATGTAGTTATGAAAACTACTGTTTGTCGTTACCTTTGGGTACAAGGGGATCCCATGGAGTAAGCAAAGTTGAGGGATAATGGCAAAGCAACATATGGGGAAGAAATAAAGAGGGAAGAGTGCGAGTTCTGCATAACACAAACTCTGAAGTAGAGATATGTTAAAAGGGCCATATATGAGTGGGCAAAACTTGCTCAGTGCAATCTCAATTAAGCCGGAGCTCCATCTTGTTCCCTGAATCAACAAATCATTCAAATTTGTAGTTGCAATTCCCGTAAACTGGGGCTTCGGAGGATTACAGAACACTGATCTCCAACCACTACAGTTCATGAAGAACCCTGTGACCACATCCTCAACTACACTAGCATACAAGAACCCAACCTGCAAGAAATATACATGTTTATGTGTATATATATACATATATATTAGAAAGCAACATGCATACACACACACACACACACACACGCATTATCCTTTCAGTCTAAAGTATAAATATATGTACCTTTTTAGAACATTTTCTTGGTTCATGATATAAGAAACCATGTAGCATTATATAATGGTCTACTCTTTTTTTTTTTTCACGCAAGTTATTTAATGATATCCTTGAATAAAGTGTCATGGATGGAGTTATGTTTTAATTGGTTAGTCACTGACTTAATAACCCTTTACACCACACAATGATAATTGATAATTTAATGAAGTTTACATTGTTTAAATTGATAAGGATAAAAATGGAATCTGAAATTCTTTTTTGATTAGTTTTAGAAGGGAACAGATGCATTGAAAGTATTTTACATTATTCCTTTCTCCTGTTTTAAATGTAGGAGCTTGATATATAACTAATTTTTAAAGATTAAACAAAATAAGTTAGTAGTTAGTTATTTATAAAAAAAGTGTGTTAATTTTCCTAAAATACCCCTTAATAGTAGTTAGTTATTTATAAAAAAGTGTGTTGATTTTCCTAAAATAACCCTTAATCATTTATATTTAAAATTACCTTATTAATAAGAATCCTCCTTTTATATGTAAAATCAGTAAGGGTATAGTTGTTGGCAGACAATGGGG